TATGTGGGCCTCAACCCCGCCCCCCCAACTTACCTGCAGGAGCTACTGTCTAGGCTGCCTGGAGGCCATGTGCATGCATACATGCACATAGTTTCATAGTTGTTGTTAGGGGCTGGAAGGGACTTTACAGATCATCGGGTCCAGACCCGCTGCACTTGGGAGGCAAGACTGCTGGGATCAGATGACCCCAACAAGATGGGCGATAAGATACTTTTTGAAGATCACCGGGGTGGATGACTGTACCACCTCTGGTGGAAGCCTGTTGCAAACCCTTGGCACTCGACTTATAAAGAAGTTTTTCCTTATGTCTATTCTGAAGCAATCCTCAATCAGCTTGTGCCCATTATTTCTTGTCCTCCCTGGGGGACCTTGGCACCCCCTCCTAACTGCCCTCCTCCTGCACAACCCAGCCCCTTGCAGGCTAGAACTCTGCAGCCTGCACGGGGAAACCCAACGTTTCCAGCATTTTTTCTCCTTAAAATGAGAAAATCTGGGTTTTACTGTATTTTTCCATGTTGAACAGAAAACTCGGATCCCTGCTCATGAGACATTTCAGGTATGTAGGTTCATCCTGCATTTCAGTCTGTGGGGAACTTACTTTTAAGCTTTTCTTTGCAGATTGTTTATACTGTACAACACATACACGCACATGCTTGGTCTACTCAACCAGCAAGTAAAACCTGGCCCATTTTCATGCTTTTAAAAATTATGACCAAGAAGAAATTCTCTTACCTAGAGTCTCCTTCTTGGTCCTCTCTATTATCACCTGCACTGTTCACGGCATATTGGCTCCTTGGTTTACCTGACATAGAAAGAAAAAGAAAAGCCATTTAAGCAATCTGAAAATAGACACATGTAGGTGTGTGCTTTTTTAAAAAGATGATGTATAAGAAAGGCTGAAAAACAAAGCAGAAAATCTTGCTCCCTTTTACACTATAAGAATCAAGTCCTGACTTTCCTGTTTTTGTTCACAGGTACTGAGGAACAAAAATAGGAGCTGTCATCCCTCAAGCAGGAAGAAGTACAAACTTTCAGAGGAGTTTGCACTTTATATATAGTAAGCAAAAAACAAAAAGCAAGAAAAAAAGACTCTAACCTTTTCCTCATTATTGCTCAGGTTTCAGTTTCATTTCTATTGATGTCGCAGCCAAAAAAAAGTGTGGTAATTCTCCAGGGGTACTTGTACACGTAACAAAATCTGGCCATTTTTTAGGTTCAACTGTGTGACGCTGTACACGCGGAGGGTTTTTTTTATGATTTAAATGAGTTTGCTACATTGCAAAATAAACCAAATCCTCATGTAGTTTAGTATAACATAGCACTCCCTCCCCCAATCCTTTTTTTCACAGAATCTGCCTGCATCTCCTGCAGCCAAGGAATGAGCTGACAGCAGGCTGATCAGGCTCTGAGCTGCAGGGGGCCCGAGTCTTTCCTTCAACAGTAGCGGTGCTCCCTGGGGCCGCCCACAGTGGGGGGTTGGCTAGTGGGCAGGTGCTGTCCCAGCTTGGGCTAAGGGAACAGTTGGACCCACTAACCATTCGCCTGGGTGGCCCCAGGGGCTATCGTCGCCGTGGAGGGAAGGTCTGGGCCCCTCCCTGTAGCTCAGGGCCCACCAACATCTCGCCCCCAGACATAGGAGAGGCAGGCAGGCTCCGTGGAAAAAAAAAAAAAAAAAAGGATCAGGCACCTCACTGCTTTCTTTTTTCCAACAGAGTCTGCCTGCGCAAACTGCCACCAGGCTGTGCATCCCTTGAGCTACAGGGGGCCCCAGTCTTTCCCTGCATGGTGGCAGCACCCCTCCCCAGCAGGATGCTAACTGCACGGGTACTGCCCCAGCTTACAGGCAGCACACACTGGATCCAACTCTTCCCTGATCCTGCGAGCTGGAAACCCGCTTGGCGCAGCTCCACATGCGGACTCGGTGAAGAGTTGGATCCAGCAAGTGCTGCCTGCAAGCTGGAGCAGCACCCGCCCAGCTAGGACCCTGCCAGGTTGGCCCCAGGGCGGGGCAGCACCACTGTGGAGGGAAAAACTAGGCCCTCCTGCAGCTCAGGGACTGAACAGCCCAGCAGCAGCTTGTACAGACAACCTCCACTGGGGGAAGGGGAAGAAAAAAAAAAAAAAAAAAAAAAAACAACAAGGGGGCTGCATTTC